GCATGGGCTGCAGCCCATTATCCAAATGTTGACCCAAATTGGAATGTGAATGGTGCTGACATGCCCCAATTAAGGGCTTATCGGGAAGCCATTATTGCTGGCATGAAGGCAGGAGGGAAGAAGGCAATCAATATGTCAAAGACGGCTGAGGTGTTGCAAAAGGTTGATGAGTCACCTAGTGCCTTTTATGAAAGATTATTGGAGTCATATAGATTGTATACTCCTCTTAATCCAGAGGCCCCTGAGAATTCTTGAATGATTAACTCAGCATTTGTCAGCCAGGCCCAAGGTGATATTAAAAGAAAATTGCAAAAGTTAGAGGGATTTGTAGGGATGTCCATATCACAGCTAATGGAGATTGCAAATAAAGTATATATGAAAAGGGAAACTGAGATAAAGCGGGAGGAAGAACATAAAATGAGAAAGAAGGCAGATATGCTAGCGGTAGTAGAAAGACAGGCAAGGGAGGTGAATAAAGGAGTCGAGAATAGGCTGAGTAAGGGACCTTTAAGTAGGAATCAATGCGCGTATTGTAGAGAGGAAGGACATTGGAAGAATGAGTGTCCACAGAGAGAGCATTATGAAAATAATAGACAAGAGAGAGAAGAGTACGGGGAGGTTATAGTGGTAGTTATAGAGGAAGAGGAAGTTTTGGAGGGAACGGTGGGAATAGTAGAGGGAGTGTTCAAGGAGATAGATATTATCCACCTACTCAGAGACCAAGAGATAGAGAGGATAGAGATTTTGTGGGTCTGGCTGACACTATCATGGTTATGATTATTGATACCGACCGGGCTCCATCCCCCTTGGCCGAGCGGAGCCTATGGTTGATGTAGCAATAGGGGGAAAGAGAAGTTCTTTCATGATTGACACTGGTGATGAACATTCCGTGGTGACTAAACTGGTGGCTCTACCTTCAAGAAAAACTATAACTGTGATAGGAGCTACTGGGAGAGGCGCAGCTAGACCGGTTCTTAAAAGTCGCACTTGCATTTTGGGAGGCCATTTGGTGAAGCACCATTTCCTATATATGCCAGAGTGTCCGATTCAACTTCTAGGACGAGATCTATTATCGAAGCTTCAAGTACAGATAACTTTTCTACCCAATGGATCAATGTCCCTGAGGTTTAATGGATTACCAGGCATAATGGCGGTATCAGTGCCAAGGGAAGAAGAATGGCGCTTCTACTCCATAATGACAAGTGTAAACCCTAAGAGTGATGAACCTTTATTTGACATTCCAGAAGTATGGGCAGAGAATAATCCACCTGGGCTTGCTCGTAATATTCCACCTATACATATTGACCTAAAGTTTGGGGCCTATCCTGTGGGCCTACGTCAGTATCATATACCTAAAAAGGCTAAGAAAAACATACAGACCTACTTGGATAAGTTCGTAAGGTATGGCATCCTAAAATTCTGTACTTCCCCCTGGAACACTCCATTATTACCTGTTCAGAAACCAGGATCAGATGAATATCGTCCTGTACAAGATTTGAGAGCAGTTGATGATGCAGTAGTCAATATGCTTGCTTTGATACCAGGTGGGGCAACCTACTTCACAGTTCTAGACCTTAAGGATGCTTTCTTTTGCCTTCAGATTGCTGCTGAGAGTCAGTGTATCTTTGCTTTCCAATGGGAAGATGCTGTTCCAGGTTCAAAGCGTCAGATGACCTGGACCAGACTACCTCAAGGGTTCAAGAATTCACCTACCCTATTTGGATCTGCATTAAGCCAGGATTTGCATGATTTCAAGTCCATCCCAGGAGAATGTGTATTGCTTCAATACGTGGATGATCTTTTGATAGCGACTGTTACTAAAGAGATATGCCAACAAGCAACTTATGATTTGCTTCACATTCTATGGAGAGCAGAATACAAGTTATCAAGGAAGAAAGCGCAATTGTGCCAGTCAACTGTTAAATATTTAGGATTCCATATTTCCGAAGGTCAAAGAATAATGGGACCTGGAAGAAAAGAAGCAGTGTGCCGGATATCTATACCTAAAAATAGAAGACAAGTGCGAGAATTCTTAGGAGCAGCAGGATTCTGTAGTATATAGATTCCTAATTATGTGATAATGGTGAAACCTCTATATGAAGCTGTGAAAGGCACGGAATATGACCCCTTTTTGTGGACCTCTGAACAACAGAAGGTATTTGAGGATGTTAAGAAAGCACTTATGAGTGCCCCAGCCCTAGGTCTACCAGATCACACGCGTCCTTTCTATCTGTACGTACATGAGCAAAGAAGAATGGTTGTGGGAGTATTAACTCAGTATTTGAGATCATGGCAAAGGCCTGTAGCTTATATGTCCAAACAGTTGGATGCAGTGGCCAGTGGTCTTCCACCTTGTCTGCGAGCAGTGGCCGCCGCTGCCCTGTTGGTAGCAGAAGCTGACAAGCTCACATTGGGTCAGGAACTCTATGTGCAAGTACCCCATGCAGTACAGACCCTATTGGATTACAAAGGAAATCATTGGTTTAGCAACAGTCGAATGACCAAATATCAAGCTATGTTATGTGAAAATCCAAGAGTACACCTCGAGACTGTCAATAATTTGAATCTAGCTACCCTTCTGCCTCAGACTACTGAAAGTCAACATGATTGTTCGGAGATAATGGATGAAGTGTATTCAAACAGGCCTGATCTTCATGATTTCCCCATCCAGAATCCGGACATACAGTATTATACGGATGGTAGTAGTTATGTGAAGGAAGGTATACGTTATGCAGGGTATGCGGTAACAACCATAGACAAGGTGATAAAAGCACGGCCACTGTCGAAAGGGACATCAGCACAAAAGGCGGAACTGATTGCATTAACAAAGGCCTTGCAATTAGCTGAAGGATTGAGAGTGAATATTTACACAGATTCGAAATACGCTTTTCTAACCACCCATGCCCATGGAGCATTGTATAAAGAAAGGGGATTGTTGAATTCAGAAGGGAAAGAAATCAAGTATGCCGCAGAAATACTCCAACTATTAGAGGCGGTATCGGAACCGAAGGAAGTCGGTATTATACATCGCAGGGCACATCTGAAAGGTGATAGTGATGTAGTAAAAGGAAATCGCATGGCCGATAGTGCAGCAAAACATGCCGCTGAATCCGGGCAAGAGGAATATGTGGGGTATGTTGCTGCCCTTGTGCCGACACCTCTGTCTCAATGGACTCCGATATATACAACCCAAGAGATGGAGTGGTTGAAGACTGAAGCTGGGAAATACTTGGAGAATAATTGGTATCAGTTAGAAGATGGAAGAATAGTTATTCCGACATCTCTGGCTATAGAGATTGTTCAGAACTTCCATATGGTACACATTCAGGAAGAGATAGTATGGAAGAATCTCTCAGGAAACATTTCTATATACCAAGATTATCCAATCTTACTCAAGTTATTGTTCGAAGATGTGTTTTGTGTGGTCGAAACAATGCAAGACAAGGCGCTGTCAAACCCCCTGGAGTTCAATATATGGGAGCACTCCCAATGTCAGATTTGCAAATAGACTACACTGTAATGCCTAAATCTGGCATTGTTTGTAGCTGTGTGTACCTACTCAGGTTGGGTAGAAGCTTGTCCAACTCGTACAGAAAAGGCAGGAGAAGTTGTTCGATTTCTGTTTCGAGAAGTTATACCCAGATATGGACTTCCGTGTTCTATCGGATCAGACAATGGTCCAGCCTTTATCCATCAGTGTTTACAACAATTGACTCATGTGCTTGGTATTAAGTGGAAACTTCATACAGCATATAGACCTCAGAGTTCTGGAAAGGTGGAAAGGATGAACAGAACAATTGTGACAGACCCATCTGTATGACTATTAATTGTGGATTCGTCTAGTTTGCCTTCCTTTCGTGGAAATTGCCTGTTTCTATAGCCCATGCGTATGATTGACTTTTTACCGAACAAATCTACCGAACGGACGGCCACCCAGAAAGTGTGCTGCTGGTTAACCTCTTGATCCCAATTAGAACGTTGTGGTTAACCGCAGACACTTCTTAATTATAACCGAATACAGGGTGGTCGTCGTTCGCATGTCGACCATGAGGCAGCGGCCATTTTAAATCACACGAAAGACCAGCGGTGTTCGGCATTGATTCCATGGAATTAAAAACTGACACTTTTTCTGCCAAACACCGCTGAAACAACAGGTCACCCTTCTCCGTCGACGAATGCATGCGAACACCGGCCTTTCGGGAGTTTTGGATTACAAGAAGAGACTTGTTGGAGTCAATCGCACACCGAAAGACTGTAAGATCTTTGACTCCATGGCGATTGAACTATGCGTATGGGATCTGAGCGCTATTCGCTAATAATATGCCCTCAGATCCAGGCTATCTGGGGATACGTTATACGAATGTAAAATGTTCGGTAGTTGTGTAATTATTTATTTTTATGTGTTTTCTGGTGTTTTACTTAAAATGGCGATTTGTCTTTGTCCTGGAGATAATTGAATTACTTCTCAATTATCTCCAGGGCAGAGGGGAGGAAACCATGCTGCATTGTGGGAAAAGTTTGTGCCTGTATGTCTGAAATGGCCATATGTCTCTCTGTCATCACAGTCTTCCATTTGGTCCCCTAGGGGAGTGTCCACCAAGTGGGAGACCTGCATAAATACGGGCGGGTAGCCCACAGTAAAGCCAGATCTTGTTTTACCCTCAATGCGGAGCTTGGTCTCATTATTGGGGGGATTTATTACCGACGACTAGAGACTGATTGCTGGAGCCGAAAGCCGCTTGGTGGATATACTTGTTCGGAGGCTAGCGACGATTCGTGGATTTATGTTCGGGAGTTTGGAGCCCTCTTACGGATCCCGTTCAGGAAATTGCCACTTCCCCTGATGGTGGTTCGTACACAGCAGTATATGCGAACGGAGATAGTAAGATTGCGAAGGGGGAAGCTTAACTAAACGGCGTTTTCACTCATAGGCACCAGGGGTGTCTTAACAACAATAAAAACCCAATTGGCTAAAATGTGTCAGGAAACTCAGCTCAAGTGGAATGTCCTTTTGCCAATAGCTCTGTTGCGGATACGTAGTACTCCTACCAGAAGAATGGGTCTGTCTCCCTTTGAAATCGTGTATGGGCGTCCACCTCCCATACTCAGTAATCTAAGGGGGGACTTGAATCAGTTGGGTGAAGGAATTACTCGGCAGCAGGTTGTAGAGTTGGGTAAAACTATGGAGGAAGTACAGAAATGGGTGCAAGATAGGTTACCTGTGAACATATATCCACCTGTTCATTCCTATCAACCGGGAGATCAAGTGTGGATAAAAGAATTGAATATTGTTCCATTAGGTCCAAAGTGGAGGGGTCCTTATGTTGTTCTTTTATCTACTCAAACAGCTGTAAAGGTGGCAGAAGTGACTCTGTGGATTCATCATTCTAGGGTTAAACCAGCGGCAGATTCTTGGCAAGCTATTCCAGATCCTGAAAATCCTTGCAAGATCCGGTTAAAGCGGGTAACTCAGTCGGAGTGAGAAATAATACGAGTAGATATTGGGACATCTTAGTTGAAAGTAACAACAGATATCAGCAAGTAGGTGTTTTGGCGGCCATAATAAAGCCTGACCACCTACCTACGTGTCATAGCCAGAGTGTCTCGAAGGGACCACTGTGAAAAAAGCAAAGATCAGAAGAACGAAAATCCTTGCAGCCCTCACAGTCGGGAAGCTGAGGTGCCGTCGCACGGTCGAAGAGTAGAAATGAGGACTTCTGAAATAATATGTTATATTATGTGTTTAGGCATTTTTGTGATTTTTCAGGAAGGTAAAGGTGAGGACATACAGAGTTGTGTTAGCTGCATTAAGACTATGAAAACAGGTAACCAAATATCCCAAACTCTCATTTGGCACTCACAGTATGAGTGTAAGGGATCTGTATCTAAGTGTAGATATTTAGATATAGATTACAGTGTGTGCAAACCAATATCAGGAGAGCTTAAATGTTTTGATCCCCAATTCCAACCCCGTACAATTTGGTTGGTAATTCGGAACAGTAACTCCTTGATAAATAGGACTGTGATAAATACCATACATTCTACGGGCATTCTACTATTTGATGCATGTAAGGCGATCTCGGGTAGTGGAAAACCTTGGAATGTATGTGGTAATCTTAAATGGGAACGAACTTATGGATTTAAAGGACCATTATAGGCACCCAGACCACGGGGCTGCCAGTCATTAGTCCCAAAATAAGTCTGTTTGGCGGGCCAGCCCACATACAGCACTCAAAGGGTCAGACCTCCCCGGGTCCATAATCCCAAGGCAAGAGTAGTCCTCTCCAGGTGCGCAGGTCCCTGACCTTCCGTCTGTCAGTACCCCGGTTAGTCAGACAGCCCACCCACAAATAAAAATTAGCAGAGTAGCCCACCCACGATAACCAGTACTGGCCTCTAGGTTCAAGTTTGTAGTGGGACAGCTCAACACCCTCGGTCTTCCTGGTGCAGCTAGGGAAACTGCTGGTGCTGCTTGGGGGCAGAGGCCAGCGGCGCTCTGCCCTGATGCCAGCTCTGCTGCTGGGAGGGGGTCAGTGGGTATCGTAGGCTCATCCACTGCCCCTAGGACCCAGTTGGGATGTAGATGGGGAGGGGAAGTTTTGCTTACCTCCTCCTCCTGGCATCCCTGTGGGGTTGGTTGGGGATGTGGACCGCCCGTCCCGATTCCCTGTAGTACTGGCACAGAGACCGCGGGCCCATCTGCGCCAGTGTAGTTAGGGTTGTTTCCCCCCTCACCCGGTATCTCCTGCTGCGGTGGGAGAGGGGGCCCGGCTGCCCCCACTCCCCAGGATGCTGATTGCTGTAAGGTGGAGGGACCTGCCATCCCCTCCTCCTGGAACTCAGGCCGCCGCTGGGAAGAGAGACCGGGTGTCTTCTCTCCCTGGGAGATGTACTGCCGCTGGGGATCTGGGCCGGGTACCCAGCATCCCTATAGGGCCGGTGGAGAGACCTCGGTCCCATCTCCACCTGCCATCTGTGTGCATCCCCAGGACACGTCTATGAGGTCCACTACCTCATGTACCTCTGGTTGGTGGAGGAGAGGAAGGCCCCAGGACGCTGGTTGCTGTATGGTGGAGGGATCTGCCATCCCCTCCTCCTGGAACTCAGGCTGCCGCTGGGAAGAGAGACTGGTTGTCTCCTCTCCCTGTGAGATGCACTGCCGCTGGGGATCTGGGCCGGGTACCCAGCATCCCTGTAGGGCCGGTGGAGAGACCTCGGTCCCATCTCCACCTGCCATCTGTGTGTGTCCCCAGGACAAGTCTATGAGGTCGCCCACCTCCGGCTGCTGTTGGAGAGGGAGCCCAGTTGCCTCCCCTCCCCAGGACGCTGGTTGCTGTACGGGGAAGGGATCTACCATCACCTCCTCCTGGAACTCAGGCCGCCGCTGGGGAGAGAGACCGGTTGTCTCCTCTCCCTTGACAACACACTGCCGCTGGGGAGTCAGAGCGACTGTCTAAACTCCCAGTGATGATGGTTGCTGCAGGGACGAGGATCCGACAATCTCCTCTACCTAGGATGCCGCTGGGAAGAATGACCAATTGGCAACAGCCCCAATCTCCACAATCGGCACTCGCATTCCCATGCCGCTCGATTCTCCGCAGCCAATTCGAGCATAGTTGCCAGAATCATCTCTGTCGAAGGATTCGGGCCATATCTGGATAACCGCCTCTTCATCTCCTCTTTATAAGCATCGCCCTCAAAGCGATATGTCATGTTTGCTGTGAACAGGGGCGCTGTACGAATACTAGCGTTGTCCTCAAATTGTAATTCCAAACGTTACCGGTGCCTCTGCGCTGCTTCTCCTCGCACTAGGACGCCATCCCACCGCTGCCACCAATTGCGACAGAACGCTGGCACTCCAACTGAGTACCTCCGCCAATCGATGCGCCTAGTGCTCGCTGAGGACTCCAAGCACTCCAACCGACACCATCAGCACTGCAGACCCCACTTCCAGCGATGCAGCTGCGCCGGGGGCTCGCTGTCTCCACCCACCCTGGACCCAAGGCCAGGATCCAGCTCCCAGTAGGTGAACCTCTCTTTCCCCAGAGAGCAGGAACAGCTCTTAGCAGAGCTTAGTGAATATACCCTGGGGAGTATAGTGAATATAGCAATCCCCAGAGTGTAGTTTTCCAATCCCCCCAAACATGAGCCAAGGCTTAATGCTGGTACAAGACTTTATTGGAAGTAACAACAACAGATATTCAAGCTACAGTTTCTTTTATGCCCTGCTCCCATGCAGGGGAGGGACACATACGTTATCTACAGTAGCCAATAAAACAGAGGTTACAGCCCACACAAAATCCTCCCCTCTGCCTGTGATTCAATTATCTTATACAATAGAAGATTCAATTATCACAAGCAGGAAAAATACAGTTTTTACAGCATATTCATAACTTCTAAAATATACATCACATTCACATAAAAAGTATATATTCACAATCAATCCATTCAGGGAAACAACATATCAAAAAATGGCATAAATCAGACCAGGGGTTCAGAAGTTAGTAAAGTATCTTTTGGGGCCTGGCTGGCAGCATGGCTATCTGGACCAAACTGGTTTTACAGAGCCCTCTATCCTGCAGACAATGGGGGAAAGAATCCAATTATCCAGGGATAGAGGCAGACTCCATTGAGCACATGTTCCCAGTACAACACAAAAGATACAAAAATACATAACTCCTATCATACTGAATTGAATGGGCCAAATCTCCCAGCATCCATAGCCACAGGGCAAGAGGCGGGCAAGCAGTCCTCTCCAGGCACAAGTGGCGAAGGGCACTTCGTCACAGTAATAAATCCATGAATAAAGTAGCAGGGAGGGAAAGTATCGAATGAATGGAGGGGGATTCTTCACAAACCCATTCTCTTCAATATTTTTATTAGGGATATTGTAGAAGGTCTTGATGGTAAGGTATGTATTTTTGAGGAGGGTACTAAGATATGTAACATGGTTGATGATCCAGCCAAATGGCAAATGATTTAGGTAAACTAGAAAAATGGTCAGAATTGTGGCAACTGACATTTAATGTGGGGAAGTGCAAGATAATGCATCTTGGACGTAAAAACCCAAGGGCAGAGTACAGAATATTTGATAGAGTTCTAACCTCAACATCCGGGGGAAAGGGATTTAGGGGTGATTATTTCAGATGACTTAAAGGTAGGCAGACAATGTAATAGAGCAGCAGGAAATGCTAGCAGAATGCCTGGTTGTTTAGGGAGAGGTATTAGCAGTAGAAAGAAGGAAGTGCTCATGCCATTGTACAGAACACTGGTGAGACCTCACTTGGAGTATTGTACACAGTACTGGAGACCGTATCTTCAGAAGGATATTGATACCTTAGAGAGAGTTCAGAGAAGGGCTACTAAACTGGTTCATGGATTGCAGGATAAAACTTACCAGGAAAGGTTAAAGGATCTTAACATGTATAGCTTGGAGGAAAGACGAGACAGGGGGGATATGATAGAAACATTTAAATATATAAAGGGAATCAACACAGTAAAGGAGGAGACTATATTTAAAAGAAGAAAAACTACCACAACAAGAGGACATAGTCTTAAATTAGAGGGACAAAGGTTTAAAAATAATATCAGGAAGTATTACTTTACTGAAAGGGTAGTGGATGCATGGAATAGCCTTCCAGCTGAAGTGGTAGAGGTTAACACAGTAAAGGAGTTTAAGCATGCGTGGGATAGGCATAAGGCTATCCTAACTATAAGATAAGGTCAGGGACCAATGAAAGTATTTAGAAAATTGGGCAGACAAGATGGGCCGAATGGTTCTTATCTGCCGTCACATTCTATGTTTCTATGTTTCTATATTACAATGCACACCTTGACACAAGCTTAACTGCAAAAGATATCATGTAACAAATACCAACATGGGTTTATAAACTGAAATACTATTTAGAGAAATCTGAGCAGAAGAGAAAGTAGTGGCAGGATATTGAGATAGTCCCCCAGTGGCCTCCAGAGGGACTGCAGCTGACCTCGTATACATTTAGTGATCTAATGAGGAAACAAGGAGATCTGTTACCCATGTGTCATGGATCCTACATCTTCTCCAGCATGTACAAGTAGAAACTAAGACTGCCAAGCTGCGATGTCATGTGATCTTAAAGGCAATAGGGATGGGAGATGGGGGCTTGAACCAAATAGCCTATTTACTAAAGTAATCTAAAAAGTGATGTATTTAATAATGGAATAGTAATGTGGGGGTCACAGAAAGTATCTATGCACTAGGTCTCCCCTCATCTTTC